AGTTTTTTAATAATAATAATACTACATTGATTTATTTTTATCACACTTGGTGCACGTAAATAAGTTGTTGCACAATTTATGACAACATGCCATTGATCTTTTTATGTGAAAAAATATTTCCTACAGTATAAATAGAGTTAATCACATCCCATAATTTAGCACATGATGTAAAAACATCAACTGTACACCCAATTGAATTATCAGTCGAAAATCTTACATTGAGTACTTGAAGGGTGTAAATAATTTTTTTTTCTTATTTCCTTTTTTGTATATTTAAGATAAACATGCGCTTTGTTCTCCAATAACCAGGACGAAACACCATATCATACAGATAAATAAGCTGTCACCGCATTGTGCTAATCTTTACAGGCAATAAACAAAATCACAGCGGCAGCGTAATTTCAGTCTACGAGCAAAAAACGATAAATAATTTGTAAAGCTCACAGAAAAATTGAATCCAATTGCTAAAAAGTTTTTATGGATGCAAATTAAAAAATGCACTAAAAATGCTAGGGGCAAGCGATTCTCTGATAAAAAAAAATTAATACCGTATGCGATTATGATACAGAGCCCAAAGTGCTATACATTTCATCATAGAATATTTATCTGACCGTCAAAATAGAATAATTAACTTACCGTCAAAATATACCATAAACAAAATGATTGTCAAACTAAGTATAGAAGGAGGAATAAATGCCCAAATATTTGATGTTATCAAAACAGAGGTAGTGCACTTTATTTAAATAAATTTACTTTTTCCATAATCTATATAATATATCATAGCTATAGTCTTCTTCTACTGCTGGGAGCATCAACATTAGGCTGCCTTATCATTTTTAAAAAAGTTGTTTTAAAGCACGAGTCTTCAAAATACTTTGTTTTTGTTTTAACGAGTTCAGACCGGCACCTCATAAGTAGGTACTTGGTATCCTATGGCGCAAATCTTCATATGACCACCGGTGGTACTTTAACGCCCCATGAACCAAGTCTTGCCGGGCGGGGTGCGTCACCGGTGGACACGTACAAGATTAGACAGGAATTATGCTTTCTCCCTCTTTCTAATAAGCTAGTAATCGTAATATAAAGTAAATTGTTTTGTTTCATCAACCAGAACCGCGCGTGCCGCGCTACCGTAACAACGCCCGAGGAATTTTGTGCATTTTTCGCGCCATAACACGACGACGACGCGACGCGTAATTAGCTGCGTGTGATTGTGTGTGCGAGTTTGTTTATGCCTATGTTTATTGCATAAAAGTATGTCGAATGAAGATAACAATCGACCTATAAGATCGGGATCCTGTCACAATTCTGGCAAAGAACGAAATGATCGGGTGGGAGAGACGTACGATATGCAGATCAACGACGAGGTGTTTGAAGAAAATTCAGACGGCTCCGAATTGGACCTGCATTATTAATTACCGTCTCACGATACCCGACGTCACAGATTGCCGATAACTTCCAATAGCAAGTTAAGAAGAGATTTTCGATGTTCGCTCTAATATAAATCAATGCTATGGGAATGAATTACAAACACCATTAACCAGTCATCGCAGACCATCAATCTTTTCCGACGATTCAAGAACAGAAGACATTTTTGATTTGCGTCAAAAAGAAGATGTGTTCGTTCTTCTCATAATGGTCAAAATAGTACCGCCGAACAAGACAGTGTATACCAACAAAACAACATACCCTCAAATAGAAGTTATCAGTCTCCTGCGATTGAAAATTTGGGGCACAATGATCATCACCTGGTTCCATTGAGTTTTCGAACGCATTTATTTCATTGGATGGTAATGACGAACACAGGTAATAGTGAATATGAACAAAAAATCGAGACAGCAATTCTTCTCATCCGACTTCTAGTAGAGAGGAAGTGGAAGAACAGATGCGCCCAAGTACTTCAGATTGGTTTCTTGTAGATGATAATATCTTACCCATAGAAGAATATGGCAACGGTTGGAAGCTTTTGGTGCCAATATTGACTGCAATAATCCCTACATTCTATATAAGCTATTTTTGACAGACGAAATTTTATCCTTTATGGTGTCAGAAACAATTAAAATTGCTAATGAAATAATTGCGGGTGTCCATCATAATACATCTATAAGTCGCCGCAAGCCATGGACTGATGTAAATACTGGTGAGATAAGGCAATTTCTTGATATAATTTTAATTATGGGCATTGTAAGACTACCAGAAATTAGACTGTATTGGTCGAAAAATCCAATTTATCAAAATACCGCTATAAAAAGTGTTATGACCCGAGACCATTTATTGACCTGTTGAAATATCGGCATTTTTCTGAAGCACCAAACAATGAAAACAATGATCGTTTGTATAAAATCCGAAAAATACTTGCTCTTATGGTAGCGAATTTCAAATCTACTGTTGAACCTGGCAAAGAAGTTGTAATAGATGAGAGCATAGTACCTTGAAGAGAACGGCTTATTTTTCGCCAGTATATTCCGAATAAAACCCATAAATCCGGAATAAAGAATTATAAGCTCTGTATGCCCAATGGTTACACACATAATCAGGAAGTACATACTGGACGAGCTTATGGCGTTCCAGGTCAAGGTCACCCTCAACAAATCCCTATGGAACTAATACGAGTAGATGTGCTAACAGAAAAAGGTCGCACTCACTACAGCGATACTTTTTGAACACAAGCTTTACAGCTTTTACACAAGCGTACCACTAGCAGAAACTCTAATGGACAAGCAGACTTTTTTGTGTGGCACAGTCCGATAGAACCACAAGCATCTACCATAGCATGTGGTAAATTCCAAGCAGTGAAAGGGTCAAGTGTTGGCTCTGAAGAATAGAACGGGTGTCAAATATATAAAATGAACCGACAAACGTGCGTTCATAAGCTTTCAACCTGCAATAATCATACATGCGCTCTAATGCCAAAGCCACATCGCTGGAGGCCAAACGAAGCAAAACTAAACTCTGGATTATAATAATGCGAAAGGGGGGTAGATATTTCTAATCAGATGGTGTCGTACTTTACCAGCCTCAAAAAAACGCAAAAATGGTACCGCAAGCTAATCATTGTGATTGTCTGTGACACAATGTTGGTAAATGCTTGGGTTCACCAAAAATTTGAAGCGGGAAAAAACTAAGTATTTTAGAATTTCGGGAACAAATTATAAGTAGATGATTAGCATGCCCAGCATTGATAATCAACTCGATGACGTTGCAGAGAAGGGTGAGCCTCATGCACAAATAAAGCCAAAACACAAGTTAGAGAAAACGGAAGAAAAGCTCAGAGCAGGGGTAGGACAGTTCAATATAATGACAGATTTGAGGTCATTTTTTCGAAATGTGACATCTGTTATCTCTATCCAAAACTATTAGTTACTTTATGTCAGCGCAGATGGCGTCACAACCGATACAAATATAATTTGTGACTAAAAATAATGTAAAAAATATTAATTTCGTTACCTTATTTTATTTAACACTTAGTATAATTATTTGTAAATATTTGTGTAGATTACAAGCTTCATAATAATTACGATAGCAACACAGTGAATGATTTCTTATTGATTGTCAAATGTCAAATAGTCACGTCACAAATATGGCGACTGCTCCCTGCGTTTGCGCGTGTTTGTAAGTTTCGTCCCATCTTTTTGCTTTTCTTCGTGAATTTAATACACCGACCCACGTTGAGTTGAGTCCTCTCCTCCGTAGTGAAGTGTAAGAATTTTCCGAAGTTATAGTGTGAGTTGAGCTGTTCTTCCGTCATTCTAGTGCAATCGTTTTTTTGCGACCCGGACACTTCGTTTGTGCTGTTTCTTTGCGATATAGACGCTTGTGATTTGTTTTTATCATGCCTAAACAAAAATATTCACAAAAATGCAGTACACCCAGACGAGCAAGAAGCCTCCTGGTCGCAGATTCTCTCTCGAAGAAAAAGTGCTCTCGCTTTCTTTATATAAAATAGAAGTGAAGCCGGGGCTTAAAAAATGCATATTTATGATAAATTAAAAATACCTTCAAGGAGCTATTTTTAATTTATCATACAGGTACAGAAGGCCGCTTTTGCAGCTTAATTTTCGACGAAATGTCAATATCCCCTCAAATCCATTAGAACGCTGCGAAAGACCAGCTTAGAGGGTTCACATTTGATGGCAAGAAAATTGCTGACCATGTATTGGTCTTCATGGAGGGGTAAAAAAAGAAATTTAAGCAATCCATCGCATATTATTTCACCAACTCCGTGAATAAACCTCAATTGAAAGAAATATTATAAAAAGTTATTAAGTATGTACATAGTACTGGGTTAAAGGTCATAAATACTGTCTGTGATCAAAGTACAGTCAATGTGAGCGTAATAAATGAATTGGTAGAAGACACAAGAAAAAAATATTTAAGAGAAGAAAAGGAATGGAGGAATGAAATCATTGAAATACATTTACTAAAATGAGTCCGAAACAATTTACTCACAAAAGATTTAAAATACTATTATTTTGAATAAAAGTGCGAAAAATCATCAAATGGGATTACTATAAGCAAACTTATGATATGCAGTATGGAGAGGTGAGGTGCCTACTGAAAGTCACAGATGAGCATATTTATGTCGATAAAATTAGAAAAATGAAAGTGAAAACAGCAGCCCAAATTTTCAGTCACACGGTAGCTGCGACTGCAGGACATCTGGTGGCAAGAGGAGACATTCCGGTAGAATGCCAAAATGTGGTAAAATTTACAAAATTAATGGACAATCTTTTTGATTCTTTAAATTCTAACACATTTCATGTGCCTGATGGCAAAATATATAAAGATGTGTTAGACGATCTAATCCACACCATGATTTGTGGATGAATGCCATAAAAGTTTTGAAAACTGTAACATTTATTAACAAAATTAAGGACAAAAATAACAAAATCCGTTTGATTGAAACGAAAGATATAACATCTACAATAAACTTCGTATGTACAATTCAAGGAATGCAATAATTATGGATATTGCTGTCCCAAACATATTCGTTTGATGCTATGCTAACTCGTAATTTCAACCAGGAACTACCAGAGAATTTCTTTGAGAATATCAGAAGTTATGAGACGAGAAATACTGCACCAGACACGGTTGCATTTGAAGGGACCTTTAAGTCCCTTTTAATTATTAATTTTAACTCGCCCCATTCTTTGCACGCAAACTGCGAAAAAGACGACGCACATACAGGTATTTGCACGATCTACGCGGCCAAAAGTCCCATTATCAAAATAACAATAACATTCATAAAAACGAGTTCCAGGAACAGAGTATGAACCCGGGAACAATACCCGTGCTTTAGCTACCTGCTACCGCTCACCCCGCACCTGTAGCGTCAGTCGGAATTTGACCGTTTCACCTTGTGTACGTATCTGTTCTCGGCGCTTTTCTAAACATTAAACTTTCAAAGTGAATTTTTATGCTATCAAGTTCTTCTTACGAATTGAAAGTGATGGATTCTGATAGACAAGGTAAGAAACTTACAAACTACATAAATAAAGTTATGATCAACTATCAAACTACATTACTTTTTTTATAATAAAAAACCTCATTTTCATACCGTGATTTCCTACAATCTTTTTTCTTTGCTAGTGTTTTTGTTTATGTATCGGGGTAGATCGGGCTATAGTTTTTATTATAGGTTATTATTTGATCTTTCCTTATAAATACCATCAAAAACGTCTCCGGAAATGTCCAGATAAATACTGTTTAGAGGGATTAAAAATATTCAGCGGAACTCGTCTAAAATTGGAAATATTTGTTAACGACTTTTAACATAATATATGTTTGTTTTAGGTTCAGCGTGTACATCAGGAGTAAGGATTGTGACCCGACAATACTTGTTTGATCTCATGAAGAACGAAAATTTGCTTAATTTAGATGCCAAATTAAATTTTCTAAAAGATAAACTTTTGTCATGTGAAGGTTACAATGAAGACCAAATTGTTAGTTTGAAAAGTGGCCCATTTCAAATCAGAAATCAAACAAAGGTGGACCAAAGCTCATTATAAAGAAGATAATTTTATTAAATACAACCGGTCTTGGCTGGAAGGTACTTTTGAAATACCTATGAGTGAGTGCGGCGAGCGCCCGTGCGCACGTAAACACGTATCGCTCCGTATTTGTATAATAATTTACGTTATAAAAGTGAAATTTTTCTTTAAAAATCTATATCCACCAACTCGTCTACAAAATTGAGTGTTAAAGGAGATGTTTGATTTTGGGCTACCACTATGTACACTACATAGATAAATAGGAAAAAAATTGAGTAATTTCATAAAAATACTTACAAATTAATTTGAAGAAGGGTACAGGCGTACAAAATGATCATTTGAAAAGTTTTTTTTATAGGATAACCCTATTTCGAGGGCAGCCATGACAGTTGTGTTTTATGACGTTTGACGACTTTGACAGTTTTAAGAAGTGACGTCTTTGAGTATTGCTTTGCTTTGGGTTTGAATTGGATGTGTTTCGGAGTTTTTAGTGATTGTTTTTGTTTTACGACCCAGTTTACTATTACGGACATTGATTTGATTGCTTCTCTGTTGACCCCGGCTTTGTTATATGGTTTCTGATTCGCCTGTGATTTGGATTCCGTCGTGTTATTTTACAATAACAAGTTCAGTTTCAGGTATGTCCGCTACCCGTGCATTTACTTGTTTTGTTCAAATGCTATTTCTATGTGATGATTTCTTCCTTTGTTCCATATTCTAATAGATTTTAACTCATACTTATTTCAGTTTATTGACAATGGCATGCCTCCAGTGCACTTCTGTAATAGATGAAAATGAACAATATTATGCTACCGATGATATGGGTCCTGAAATAATTTCGGTCATCGAGCGGTATCTTGGCCATCTGGTAAAAAACATTTTATTTATCTATTTACTGTAACATATTTTTAAACACTGTATAACCTCTTTTTTGTTTTGTTTTGTTTTAGGTTGATGGAAATGAAGTGATGTGCTCACAATGCTTTGGCATCATAATGCAAGAGGTATCTAATGGTCTGGCACATGGAGATCACGAACTCCAACATTGCCATGATAGCAATGTTTGTGTTAGGTGTAGGACATCTTTGTTTAAGAGGCGTGCACACTCTATTCCCGAGGGTGCCGAAAGGCAATATATTGCTGAAACAATTGCTCCAAGAGAGGTAAGCACCTCTTTTGTTTTCTTTTTTATTCATACAGGCAGTCAAATGCAGATGTTCCTTAATTATGGTCTAAGACAATATTATTGCAGGAAGAAACAGAACAGTCACAATTTAATTTTTGGAAATGTGTGTAGATATGTAACTTATAACATCACCTTGGTTGAGTCTGTGAAGGTGATGTTAAAATAACTAAATCTTGATTTATTAAAATGATTTAGAAATGTTGTGATTTAAATTATTTAGAAATGTTTTGATTTAAATTAATAAATATTAATTTCATATTTTTTGTTTTAGATACCCGAGGGTGGTTTAATATGTTTTGCTTGTTGGGTACATACTCGGCGTACAATACAACAACAAGGAATCATAGCAGCTCCTGCTGTTATGAATATGAATGCATGTGTATGGTGCCGACGGTCTCTTGCCCAAACACGCAGCCACTCCATACCTGAAGGACCTGAACGGACCATAATAACACAAACGATATATCCAAGAGAGGTAACATTAACAACTTACTTAATTACCTACTGTTGGAATTAAATAATTGGGTTAATAGTCAATACATATTGTTTTCTTTTGTTTAATTCAGATTCCACCAGGAGGACTGGTTTGCTATGCTTGTTGGGTAGCAGCACGTAGAAATGTGGAGCATGCTACAAGGGTTGAGGATAACCGGCAAGGCCCATCTAATCTTCACCAAGACTCTATGTGTGCATGGTGTAGAATGTCGCTACACCGAAGGCGAACACATGTGGCTAGTGGTCCTGTGAGAGATGAAGTTGCAGCAAGAATTTACCCCAATGAGGTAAAATTATTTTAATTTACTAAACCACCATACACAAGTAATGTAACTTTGCATTTAACTGTAAGTAACCCTTTCTGTTGCTCCTGTAAGTAAATTGTTTCTTGTATTGTTTCAGTTACCAGAACATGCGCTACTTTGTTCCAACTGCTGGACACGTGCACACGAAAATATAGAAATGGAGCAAGAAGTTGTGCAATTTGATATCCAGCCACCAAGTGCATCAATAACACTTGATGGTTTTACACACACAACACAGACAAGTACTCATTGTTTTGTGCCGGCCTGTAACAATGTAGAACGAAATAGAGTGCCGGAATACTTAAGAAGAATTATATTAAAATCGGAAAAAATATTTGTGACAGAAAATGCAAGAGTATGTAATGAACATAAATGTTTATACAACTGGGAGTTTCTGGACCAGCATCAGTTCTCAAATACATTTACAAAAAATGAAATAGAGTCAATGCTGAAGCTGAGTATCCAGGACAATGAAATAAATCAACTAGATTTTAATAATATGAGTAGTATTGATGAGGGACTCTTTAAGTTCTGGACTGGAATTACAAAAGACAATTTTATAAATATTTTAAATGTAATAAGCCCAGCATTGACTTGCAAAAACCAAAAAATTGCTTTGGGAATCTATTTGGTGAAAGCTCGTACAGGGGACTCCCATGAAAGGATTGCCTCTCTGTTTCATCTGACCAAGTCCTCAATAACACGATTGCTTAGAGTAGCTAAAGAGGCATTGCTAAGGTTATTTGTGCCTCTCCACTTAGGAATCAATCATACAAGAAATGATTTAATAAATAGGAATTTATTAATACCCGAGGGTTTGTTTGGAAACAGAGAGGCAAGAGTACCAATAATAATATTTGATGGTACCTATATATACCTTCAAAAATCATCCAACTATATGTTCCAAAAAAAAACTTATAGCTTGCACAAATATAGAAACCTTGTTAAACCTTTTCTCATTGTTGCCACTGATGGTTATATTATTGATATTTTGGGGCCCTATCCAGCAACCAAATCAGATGCTGACATCATGAAAGCTTTGTTCCAAAATGAAAATGAGGGTCTAAGGGCTTTTTTCAGCCCAATGATGTTTTCATTTTGGATCGAGGCTTTCGTGATTCCATTCCAATGCTAGAGGGGTTGGGCTTCAAAGTATTTAAACCGGAGTCATTAGAACAAGGAGAGACTCAGTTATCAACCATCAGTGCAAACAAGACAAGATGTGTGACACTATGCAGATGGGTGGTAGAAGTAGTTAATGGCCGATTTAAAAGAGACTTTAAGCTATTGAGACACGAATATTTTAATTTGGCTGCCACCCATTTGATGGACGATGTTCGTATTTGTGCAGCTATAATTAATGCATTCCATCCAGTGATTGAAAATAGACCAGATGCTGATGCTATACTTACTCGAGCAATACAGAGAAAAAATATGCCCAACCGGTTAGCAGAACTTATAATTGCTAACCGGATCAACCGCTTTAGAGCCCAATTCACAAGAATTGATGGTCAACTTCCAGAGTTAAGTATTTTCCCTGAAATGACTATGTCTGACTTGATACTTTTTGGGCTGGGTACCTATCAAATAAAACAGGCTAGAAGCTATTTCGGGGAACATATTAGGCAGCATGGATCATTTCAGGTAGAAGTATCTGACCAACTGGAAGTAGTAGCAGAAGCAACCCCATCCCAACTTGATCCTCTTTTAATCAGAGGCCGTATAAAATCTCGACATAGCTCAGGACGAACATATTATACATATATTTTGCTGTCAAAGGAAGGATCAAGTTGGGATGATAAAATAATTAGCTATTATTGTAGTTGTATCTCCGGACAACGAACAGTGGGTTGCTGTGCTCACATTATGACCATTGTGTGGTATTTGGGTTGGGCTCGGTACCAAGAGAGCATAGAAGCACCGGCGTCATTCCTGGATGGAATATTAATAATGGATGATGTAGAAAATTAATAAAATTAAAAGTCTCAACAAGTTGTTTTATTTGTATACCTCATGACTTATTTCTCATGCTATTAATGTCTCTAATACTAGGAATCATATAACATAGAACTTGTTTGAAAAATTGTTAGTGTTTAATTGGGCACTGGGCCCGCATGTTGGATTACAGTCCACTCTCACAGAAAGTAGTTATATGTCTCAGCGGTAGAAACATTATAGGCTGATTATGCTGCTGCTACCTAATTGGATAAGAATAGTTGATTTCTTCCCATCTGTTACTGTGTAATAGGTATAGTTATCTACTTTAACTATAACTTGCAGTCATCAGGTACTGTACAGCTAACTGCTCTCCTATGAATTATTGAAGTACAGAGTATATTTATAGGCACTAAAGTAAAAAACTAAACGAAGCAGCAGGAAAGTGTTGTAAATAAAATAACGTTCAAGCCTTTGTTTCGTTTCTTGCTCCTCTTGACACCGATATAACCAATCTGTAACTACTCGAATAGGTGATATAAAATGTGGTGCCGCAATCGAGAAGAATATCCTGTAGTCTTATTTTATCGAAATCCCAGATTTTTGAAATTCGTGTTGTTTTTTTTTATTGCAGATATTACGAATTACTATACACGTCAATCAAATGTCACTGTCAATATGACATTTTTCGCGTACTGCTGTTCCGATCCACCTGGATCCACCATGTTTAATTTTATGTTGTGTTGCTCTCCTTGACCAAGTTAATTTGAATGTACAATGAAACGCAGTGAAATTAAAGAAAACTAACAATAAAAAACGGTTACTATATTATACAGCAATATTCACATATAGTGTACATAGTGCTGGCCCAGGCTCCATACATTTATGGAACATCTCCTTTACAGAAGATACTTCGTGTAAATAAGTGATTTAAAAACAGTACAAAGGTGATAAAGAATCAAAATAAACTGCCGTTACACTGTGTCGTGTTAGCGTGTGACTCATCGATTGAACGAGTGCGAACGTTATTGCCTTATATGGTCACAAGAAATTACTCCGACAATATGTACTACACCAAGCTGTATGCATTTTTCACCACTTATGCTAATAGCAAGTGCAGCCTAGCGGTCTAAGTAACGAACTTGTAAGACACCTAACTAGTGAGATTGTGAGTTCGAATCTCGCGTACCGAGTTTTTTTTTTTTATTTTTTTTTTTTTTTTTTTTTTTTGTTTGTTTTCTGTACGTGAGAGCGTGTTGCGCTGCCGTCATGTTAAATTCCGCTCAGTGTGAAAAATTTTGATAAAATAGAATAAATCGATTGTGGACTTATAAACAATGCAAATTAACTGTAAATATAGTGTAGTTTAAGTGTAAGTGTAGTCAACAAAAACTAACCATTAAATCACATAAAAATAAAACGGTGCGATAAAAGTGTAACAAGCATCATGTTTATACGTGATAATAAACTCTAAAATTGAAAAGACATATAAAAACTGTATAATAAACCTTAAAAAACTAACGAAGGGTGACCAAAACAAACTTTTATGTGATAACTTAGTTTAATTAGTGATAAAGTGTAACAAGTGATTCAACAGTCACCCGCAAAATAGTGCAAAATTCAATTGACATTACTCATAATAACCGTCTTCGACAAATTTAAATCTGCAATACAAATCATAAATATCATTATTTCACCACAAAATTTAAAGTCATAATAGCCTAGTGGCTAACTAACTGCTTTGGACTACATAGAGGACAACGCCTTGTGGATTGCATATAAATTATAACAAACATTTCAGTAAAACCAGCTACAAATTTCACTAAAAATATTTGTATACTCATAGCCGAATAGTTTATACTGATAAATTCCATATTTTTTATTATTATTTTTTGATAAAAATGTCGTCATCTAAAGAAAAGCCAACCACTAAAACAAAATGTGACAAATGTAAGCAAAATTTACTAAGACGAGAATTCCTTACTTGCTCCCAATGCAAACTGAAACTGGATCTGGAATGTGCAAACGTTCCATTTGTGAGATTTAATATCATGGAAGCAGAAAAGAAAAACAAATGGAGATGTGACAAATGTATTATTAAAGCAAAACAAGTGCCTAAACCATCCAATGGTTCAGAAACTGCTTCCTTATTGTCAGAAAATAACAAAATTGATACCAGCACCGTAAGTTATGAAAACGTGACAACTCGTCAACGTAATAAAATTCGCGCATCTTCGCTAGAACCGCAGGACAACACATTTGAAAAGACCATGGAAGACAACTCTTTGACCATACTCGAAGACACGCGTATGAGTCTCCCAGACCTTAACATAGCTGAACACAAAGAACTACGTGATGAAATCAGCTTCTTAAAAACACAGCTAGCAAGTGCCCATTTGGAAATAGACAGATTGAACTTACAGGTTACAGATTTACAAAAAAGAATAAACGACCAACAAAGAAAAAGTCAAGTATTAAAACAATTGATAAAGGAACCTGCACCACGTAAACTAACCCCCATAAAAAAATCCAGTGACATTACATTATCAGAAAGAAAGAAGAAACAAAACAAGCAAAGTTCTCCATCAACTTCAACAAAACCCTGTCCAACGCAACCTGTAACAAATGACGTAACTAGCTCAAAGAAAATAACAGAACAATCTAGCAACAATGCAAAGAGAAAACTATGTATTTTAAGCAATAGACATTATTCAGGCCCATTACGGTTCGTTGAAAATACGTTTTCAAGCGATTTTAAATTTTGTCGATACCTATTACCTAACACAAGCATTAAGCTTCTCTTGACTAACTTAAAGAACAAATTGTTAAATTTTAATATGAATGACTACTGTATAATTGTATTAGGTGATACTGATATAAGAGACACAAACTGTATTGAACTCATAAACACAATTGGGAATTTAATTAAGCAAATCGACTTTACCAACTTGATAATCTGTACCCCTACGTATGAACTTGGGGCACCAATACAAAATTATAAAATTGAATTATTCAATAGCTTACTCTATATAGAACTACAAAAAATACCATAATATATATTTTTTTGACTCTAATGTAAACCTAACTTATGAAATGTTCTCAAGTAGAACAGGCAGGGTAAATAACTTTGGATTACGGAATATTTTCCAAACTATAATGAAACAGATATACTTTGATTTTGAATCATTTCCTTTGACTACCTCACAAGTTGACTGCGATATGGCCGTTGAGAGTAATTCTAAATGTGACTACAACACATCTCATAATTTATTTCGTGACTAATTCCTTATATATCCTCCATCAAAATATAGATGGCCTTATCTCCAAATCAGATTCATTAATGGTTAATTTAGAAATACTTAATGATGAACGTACTCCAATAGATATTATAGGCATAACCGAACACAACATGATAGCTAGTGACTTACATCGCCTTAATATAAGAAACTATAAACTTGCGTCTTTCTACTGCAAACAACAACGTAATGGCGGATCTTGTATTCTGATTAAAAACCACCATGAATACGAAAACGTAAGAAGTTTAATCAACCAATCGATATCTGGTGTTATTGAATGTTCGGCAATAAAATTAGTACAACATAAGGTCTACATAGTCTGTATTTACAGACCTCCTCGGTCAAAATTAGAACTAGTGGCTCTATTTTTTAGTAAACTGGATAATATATTAAGCTCCGTTACTAATAATAGCAACTATAAATTTATTATATGCGGTGACTTCAATATTGATGTGCTCAAAAATGATAAAATATCCAGAGATTTTAAACAGCTATTATCTAAATACAATACAAAATGCCAATTTCATGAACCCACTAGACCTCGCAGTAAAACATGTATAGATAATATGTTACATAATATTCGTAGTGCAAAAGGAGAAGTCATAGAATTGACAATTTCCGATCACTCTGCTCAAACCCTTAAGATACCTATCAAAAAAAAACATGTCGGCTAAAATACTGGTATACTTACCACCGAGATTTTTCTCTCGATAATATAAGGAAATTTATGAACTGCATCAAAAGTCTAAGTTTCAGTGAAGCATATGAGACAAGTTGTCCAAATAAAGCTTTCAACTCATTTCATGACCTTTTCACACTTTTTTACAACTTATGTTTTCCAGAAATCAAAATAAAAATCTCTACTTTGAACAAACCGAAATGGATTTCAAAGGGCATTAAATTATGTAGTAAAAAACGTTGTAAGCTCCTGTGGAAATATCGACTATCTCCGTCACCAACAAATAAATTAATATTTACTAACTATAGTAGAAGGTACAAGAGAATAATTAATCTTACTCAAAAGGCACAGAATGACTATTATATAGCTCAGTCAAAAAATAAATCCCAAGCAACGTGGAAGATAATTAATAAGTATAATAGCAGCCTTCCTAAGGAACAGATTAACAGTATATTAAGTAACGATAAAGAGGTAACTGAACCGACAGAAATTGCGAACGCCTTTAACGACTTTTTTACAAACTCATTGGAAACAGTCGATAAGGACAAGCCCGAACCTACTTCTATTCCACATAGTCAACGTAACTCAATTTTTTTGACCCCAATAATACCCTTAGATGTTGTTAAATCTATTAATTTACTAAAAAATACTAATAGTGTAGGTTTTGACAATGTTTCCACTAAGATTATTAAAACAGTAGGGAATATAATAGCTCACATCTTGTGCTACATTATAAATTTATGTTTAGAACAGGGAATATTTCCAGATATATTGAAATTGGCAATTACTATCCCAATATTCAAAAAGGATGACAACAAGCTGTTAAAAAACTATCGTCCTATTTCACTAATTTCAATATTTTCAAAGTTAATAGAACACATTACATATAAAAAAATAAACAATTACTTTGAAACCAATAATCTATTTTCGAAGCATCAATACGGCTTTCGAAAAGATAAATCCATTAGTATGGCTATATACGAGTTTTTGGAAAGAGTCGTAAAAAACGTTAACAACCGAAAGCCTACACTAGCACTATTTATGGATATGACCAAAGCATTTGACAACATTAATCATAAAACATTACTTAACAAACTAGAAAGATATGGTATAAGAGGCAACGCCCTTAAGCTAATCGAATGTTACTTAAGTAATAGAAGACAAATTACACATATAACCAAAATTGACTCTAAGACCGGTGAAAATAAAATATACAGATCGAAAGAGCGTCAAGTAAACTATGGAGTGCCACAGGGAAATGTACTGGGACCTCTCCTTTTTATTATCTATATAAATGATTTTCCTAATGTAATCAACCATCATATGACTATTTTTGCTGACGATAGTACTGTTTTATTTACTTATGATAATGAGAATAATATAAATATTGACATTAATAATACATTGACATCTTTATTCAAATGGCTGACATTAAATAACCTAACAATTAATTTGACAAAAACACATGTAATAAACTTTAAACAAAGAAATAATTATCCTTTAAATTTTGACATTAACTACTCTGGGAATTCAATTAAAGAGGTAGACACTACAAAATTTTTGGGTTTGACTATAGATAATAAGCTGACATGGAAACCTCATATTAATAATCTAATTAAAAAACTAAACCAATTCTCTTATGCCCTTTATAAACTAAGGAAGGTTTCCAGTGTTAAAACTCTTCTAACAGCCTATCACGGATATGTTGCATCAAACTTAAGGTATGGAATAATATTTTGGGCCAACACAACTGAAAAACAAAGTGTCCTCAAAGCGCAAAAAAAGTGTGTTAGATCGATGTTCGGTCTAAATCAGGATGATTCATGTGAACCGTACTTTCGCAAATATAAAATTCTGACTCTACCGTGTATGTATATATATGAGGTTGCGAACTTTGTTCGAAATAACCCAACTTATTTTGAAATGAATACTGCCGGAAGTCGTCGTGAAGGAACATTGAAAGTTAATCACAAATGCAAACCACTTCTTCGAAGAATGTGTGTAAATTGCATGGCACCAAAAATCTATAATAAAATCCCGTTAAATATACGATTAATTAATGATATCAAAAGATTTAAAACTGCGCTCAATGGCTTCCTTGTTGAAAAAGTGTACTATGACATAAGAATATTTTTTGATGACAAAATGTAAAAATATACTTCAATTTTGTTCATATACCTCTAAGGTGAAACATGGCTGTATCTTATAATAATTTTATATGTAACATTCTGTAATACCCATGCTTATGAATTAATAAATGTTTGATTTGATTTGATTTGATTATTGTTGAGACTTTACAAAAACGGCCAGGTCGACCATCCAAGTCGTTGGGACGCAAGTGAGAGGAGCAAGAGGCGAAAGACTGAAGAACTTCGTTCTAATTTTGAAAAAGAGATCATAATACTGCTGCGAAAGTGGAACTAGGGAAATCTGGTAACAAAGATGCATCAAATGTCCTAAAAGATATCACTAGTACTACAACAACTACCTAACTAGTACTACGACAAGAGCAACTAAGAGCGGGTACACATTGGGCGCTTTGAAACGCGCGATTTACTAACGCGCGTTTTGAGATCCAAAAGTCCCTATTGAAGTGTACACATGTAAGCGCGCGCTTCTGATCAAGCGCGCGTCGGACGCGCGCTCTCAGAATTTCGTTGGAACGCGCGTTGCGCGGGCGTCAGCTGCGCGCTTGTAGATACATGCACCGCCATTTTGCTGTACATTTGATCGCGCGCTTTCGTGTAGGGTGCATGTATATCATGGAGATCGAACACTTCGATACAGATTTATTTATCGACGAAATCCAAAAGCGCCCAACTATATGGGACATGCAAAATCCAGATTATAAAAATAAAATATTAAAAAAACGTAATTGGGAGGAAATAGTTGAAATTTTTAGTGACTGTGAAGACAATTTGGAAAAGAAAAAACTGTTGGGTGAGTATAATTATTTATTGATGTTTTCTATAATTATATCATGTTGTTTTGCCACTGTAATTTTCCCTCGTTCACAAAATAATTGGCAAATTTTTCTCTTGCTGTTCTAGCACATAAGCTGCCTCGTGGTAAATTTTCTAAATGTATAGATTGTAGAGGTGAAACATAAAGTGTATCTTCATATCTGTAACCATCGCGCATTCGAACGTAATTATGTAGTACTGTGCAAGCTTTGATGATACTCTCCGCGAAATCTATGTTTACATCTATCGGTCTATGAAATATTCGCCATTTATTGCTCATTATTCCGAAAGTACATTCAATATAGCGCCTTGCTCTCGATAATCTGTAATTGAAAACTTTTTTGTTTTGTTCTTAAAACCTTCTTCTACTTCTTTCCACTTTTCTGTTATCATTTCAGGCACAGATGTAAACTTCAATTTGCTCCATAGTACTTTGCAAACTTGTTCCACTATCTTTATAATTGTCGATTTTCCAAGACGGTATCCGTAAAGCAAATCAGCGAAAGAGCAGCCTGTGGCCAAGTATTTGTCAAAATGAAAATGGTTATTGTTTATTTTCAGGTGGTACACTTATGAAAAAATGGAAAAGCATTCGGGACAATTATCTTAGGGAGTCTAAGAGGCAAAAAAAGCTTCCATCTGGATCTGGATCTTCCAAACATACGCCATATGTGTATTACAGGAAATTACAATTTCTTGCGAATTCTACAGCATATAACGACACAGAGAGCAATTACCAATCTTCTGGCACAACTGGTTTAGATGTAGATAATATTATAGACATTGGGTCCGATTGCGTTTCTTTGGCGCACTTAAATAATGCCGAATAATAGACTTAAATTAGTCTAAAATTCGTACTAATATTATTGCTATTGCGTTTGTTAATTAATTATGTCCACAACACTATTTATGTCCAATTCGGACTTAAATTATGTCTACGCATGTCTTTTGTTATTCCGTTTCTGACAATTTGACAGTTCGTTGGCTTTAAATGAACTTACACGTCTAGGAAGTGTTATTCTTTAAGTTCGCACCTATTTAGTCCGTACGTAAGCTAAGTTTCTTCAGAAAATAGTGAAAAATGTTTCCTTATGGCTGGGCTATCATTCAAAGAAGACACAATGAGGAACGGCAACGGTATGAGTACGAAATTTATATTATAGAAACTGCTTTTCTTGTATACGGTAGGTATAAGCATAACATAACCTAACTTTTTTCGTTGTAGGGCTGCGAGAAGGAGAGCGCATCGCCATATTCGGGACCATTCCAACCCTTTCGACGTGTCTGCAGAGGTTTTTACCAAATTATACAGGCTCTCCAAAAGAACTGCGCATTTTTAGTGGAGTGTCTTCACCAGAATTTAAATCGACAAAGGCAGCACGGAATTCCTGTGCATATCAAAGTTTTGGCTTCACTCCATTTCTTTGGACATGGCGGCTACCAAACAACGGTTGGGCAGGGACAGTATTTAGGTTTAAGTCAGCCATCTGTAAGCAAATGCTTACAAGAAGTTGCTGATGCAATTATAACTGTTTTATTGAACGGTATGGTGCTATTTCCAGAGACTGAAGAGGAAAGGGCAGAAAATAAACAGAGGTTTTTACAGATAGCTGGGTTTCCTTCAGTCTTGGGTTTGATAGACTGTAGTCAAATCTCCATTGTTCGCCCAAAAGACACAGCACTTGTGCCAGCGAGATTATTTTTTATCGCAAAGGCTTTTATAGTCTTAATAGCCAATTTTTATGTAATGCAAAGATGGAAATTATTCATTTCAATGCCACTTTTCCTGGATCAACACATAATGCAGCGATCTGGCAAGGATCCAGTTTGAGCCAATTATTAGAAAATAATTATGTTAACGGAGTTTCAGCTGGTGAATGGCTTCTAGGAGACTCTGGATATGCCCAACTGCCTTGGCTGATGACCCCGTATACTGATGCGGATGAAAATACACCTGAGGCTCGATATAATTTAGCGCATACCAAAACGAGGGTCCTTATTGAAAAATGTTTTGGAGTGATGAAAACAAGATTTAGATGCATTCACAAGCACAGGACGTTGCATTATGACCCCGTGAATGCATCTAAAATAATAGCAGCTGTAGTGGTTCTCCATAACGTGGCAATTAAGAGAAATGAACCTTTACCAGATGAATTGGAACTCGAAGACAGATTGCGGCCAACAGATGATCCAGGATATGAATTTTTTAAATGTGGCAAGAAATATTCGAAATAACATCACAAGACAATACTTTGCATGATGTGTTTTAACTAAAGATTTAAATTAAAGAATTAATAAAACTTAATTTCGAAAAAATAATTTAATTATTTTTATTGCTCGTTTCGACGAACATGATAGCGGCACGCATTATGCAATCGTCAAGATACCGAGCGGCCTCCGTCTGCGCATTGGCGAGCGCCATCTGCGCTTGGGCTCCCTCACTTAAAGCCGCTATCATGGCATCTTCTTGCGGGGTGGCTGAATCGGCTGGCGGCACGAGCGTACGGGGCGTTGCTCAACGCGCGTTGCGGCGCTCGAGGCGCGGAGTGTTGCGCACCACGCCGTCCTCCAGTCTCTGTTCAGGGGTTGAGGCCACGATGTGTTCACGACTGCAACTGATCGTCGCCAGATCCCTATTTGCCGCTCCTTATTTGCGGCATCATCAATGCGTCTACCGCAATTCGACCAACGCGAGATGCTGTCGGTATTGATGACGCGTCCGTCGCCATTGAAGTGACGACAGTCGCCCCATCGTGACTCGCCGTCGGTGTCAACGTGCCCACCATAGCCGCTTCCTTCGGGGGCTCTTCTTCAGTGTCTGAATGTATATCCTGCATAGTACAATTACAAGGATAAATTCATACAATTATACCACTATGAAGTCAATTTCAGAATACCATTATGCATAAAACTCTTTTTAACATGACTTCGGTATTTATTACTCATACCATTAATAATGCAGTTATTCTATAATTACCAAAATTGACCATAACGCTTAATGAAAACTACATCAAAATCTAATCAGTAGAACTCAAGTCATAATAAGGGCACTGTTTAAACTTATTTATAAAACTAACAAATCTTATTTATATGTATATAATAATGTTGTTGTGAATAGGTAAAATATACTCACAACTGTTACTGCGTCTAAAATCACGTCTGCTTGGGCTTTGGCAGTTGAGTATCATCCAAAACCTGTAGTCAAAATAAAATCAACTTAACATCAGACCATTACTGGTAATAAATATCACGACTGCTACAAGCATTGCCATAACACACTCACCATGACTATGTTTTGTTTAACATAAGGATCCGGAACATCAACAATGGGCTGTGGAGTCCCTGGGACAATAATAATACCCTGTAAGAAATTTAAAAGTCAAGGATCAAGGTTTTCCGTACATATTATAAAAGGACATCTTTATAATATTAATGCTATGTAATGTATGTAGTTTTCAAAATTAACACAATTGTGATGATTGATGCAATCATGAAAAAATAAGTAAATCTAATATAGAGCTTACAAAAAACTAATGCCAATAACTTACAGCTTCCACAGCTCCAGGCAATCCATATATAGTTGATGTCCCCTCTATATTTATTGTTTTTTTCTCCAGTTCTGTCAAGCAGATATCTGCTGGAGGACCACCTCCAGTCCTTTGCATAGATGCACGCTGTGTGCGCATCTTAGCCTTCGCCATGCGTGCTAATAACTTGTATGTCCGAAAAATTTAGATTATACATTTAACAACAACTAATATCCAAGTGGGTAAAGTAGGTTGGTTATGATTTAAATTTTAAAAGTTCGCTGATATATTTAGTACAAAATTAGGACAATTTAATGTATGAAGCACCACTAACTAACCTCTAACCAATCTTTCTGTGTCTTACGAACACCTCCCATTCCATTGAGGGCTTCTGTCAGTTCAGTCCACAATCTTTTGGTAGCCGGCAACTGACAATTTCCTGTTGATAAATAAAGACAAATGAAGTATAGGTAAGTATGAAAACATCATGTTTTATTGGATGCCAATTATTTATATTATATGTTATGTTATAATTTAACGTGATTAAATGATTGTAAATGTAATAACAAACGTTGCAATGCGATATGACTACCAAACTGAATTTACACAGGAATGCTTGTAGATAGGATAAGTTAGAGTGCAATTATATGATTATGATCAAATTTAAAATGAACTTGCTATTCTGTAAATAGATGGATGGATGAGTAGGGTAAATCGATAGATTAAAATATAACAATTTACACTACTAAAACAAAAATTCATATGAAATATTTTGTAAACATACCGTTAACCGTTTCCGGATTCCTCATCAAGAAGTTTAATAAATATTGTTGCTGTTTTTTTCTTCATTCTTGGCTTCTTTGTATCCATATTTATTAAAATTTCAATAATTCTTGCGAAAACTCACACAAAAAATAACCACAACAGACTTGACAACTTGACAGACTAGTGGTGTGGTGTTGCCATTTGCGGCGGCAAACGAACGTAATTATGTCCATTTCCATAGACGTAGAATTAAGTTCAAATTTAGTGACGTAAACTTATTTTAACAGAAACGTAATAGCTTTAGGTTAAGGACATGGACATATTTAGTAAAATTTTAATCTGTCATTATTTAGGTTCGAAGAGAAACGCAATCGGACCCAATGCAGACTTGATGCCACCTCCTAAAGATCAAATGGAAGGCCCAAGGAAAAGACAGAAAATAAATGCTGTAGATAAACAAATAGTCGACATTTTACAGAAAAGTTTAAATGCAAGGGAACAAAATGAAATGGGGCGACTAACTAAAGAAGACGATGATAAACTATTCTGTTTATCATTGTACAGTGAATTAAAATAAAGTGCCCGAAAATCGACGCTTAACTACAAAGATTGAATTACTCAATGTCATTAAAGAAGCACAGAATTATCATCAATCATTACCACTAGAAACTAATCATCACCAATACACATATTCTACACCGACATATTCTGGATATACTACTGCTAGACCATCAACAACACAACAGTGGTCTACCACGCCGCCACCACCGCCGTCATCATGGTCACCGTCACGTTCAGCCTCCAGCCAAGATTCAGACAACTTAGATTTATTTGAATAAACAAATATACTTACCTTAACGTTATCACGAGTTTTTCTCCTGCGGAAATCGAATCTCTCAAAATCGTTGAATCACCAGTAATATCTACTTTAATAACATGGAGTAAGTCATCAAATGATTTTATGGACATTCTAAAATAACAAGAAAACTTAGGTTCATATTGTTTTAACTTTTGATACAATGTTACAAAACATTCCATGCGTCAGTCTATCTCGTAATATTGGGTGCACCCAATATTCTTTTTGCCTCTGCCGTCGTCTTTTATAGCGACGGTATAGAAGCCACACACAACCGATCACTTCGACGTCCATTTCCGAACTGAACTAGTAGTATGGACACCTTGGTAACGCTCGTTAAACGCCGTGCCAAGCGCGCTGTATGTATGCTACAAGCGCGCGCCCAACGCAACGCCGAGCGCCCAATGTGTACCCGCTCTAAATATAAAAAGGCATTTTATCTTACGAAATTAATTAAAGAGCAACCCTCCTTGACACCAATGCAAGCTTTGCAAATGTTTATAGATGCAGATTTGACACAAGGACAGTACGAAATTATAAGAAAGACCAATAAGAAGTTTTTTCCGTGCTATAGTGCCTTACAAAAAGCCAAGAAGAAATGTTACCCACCTCAAGAATCGTGTATGGTAACGAGTACTAGTGCCGAAGCTCAGTTACAGCCGCTAATGGATGTTACTGTTAGGCGTTTATCGGAATACCTAGAAGAGGTATTGGTTGGGCTGAAAAGTTCGTATCGTCTCTATGAGATGGCGCCACTAGAATAAAATCCATTTTTAGGTAGTACCAACCTTCAAAAGAAACGTGTATAAATTTGACAGCTGTCTGATTATTAGTTTGTGAGATACAGCATTTTGAGTGAAGCAACTTTTGTTATTTTAAAAAAATGGATAAAAAGGAATTTCGTGTTTTAATGAAACACTATTTTTTGATGAAAAAAAGTGCTGCTGATACCAAAAAGTGGCTTGATGAGTGTTATCCGGACTCTGCGCCGGGCGAAACAACCATTTGTAAGTGGTTTGCCAAATTCCGTATAGGCCATATGAGCACCGAAGACGATGAACGCAGTGGACGTCCAAAAGAGGCTGTTACGGACGAAAACATAAAAAGAATGGACTGCACGCGATGAACCGAATCCAAAGCGTGGAAAAACTCAACAGTCGGCCGGTAAGGTTATGGCGTCCGTATTTTGGGATGCACATGGAATAATTTTCATCGACTATCTTGGAAAGGGAAAAACCATCAACAGCGACTATTATATAGCGTTATTGGAGCGTTTGAAGGACGAAATCGCGAAAAAACGCCCCCATTTGAAGAAGAAGAAAGTGTTGTTTCATCAAGACAATGCGCCGTTTCACAAATCGATGAAAACGATGGCAAAATTGCATGAATTGGGCTTCGAATTGCTTCCGCATCCACCGTATTCTCCAGATTTGGCCCCCAGCGACTTTTTCCTGTTCTCAGATCTCAAGAGAATGCTCGCTGGAAAGAAATTTAAAGCCGATGAGGAATTAATCGCCGAAACAGAGGCCTATTTTGAGGCTAAACACAAATCGTACTACAAAAATGGTATTGAAAAGTTGGAAGATCGCTATAATCGGTGTATCGCCCTCGATGGCAACTATGTTGAATAATAAAATCGAATTTTGCCAAAAAAAATGTGTTTTTCTATAAAATGATACGAACTTTTCAGCCCAACTGTTATTGATAACTTTAAATGAACAAGAGCGTGAATGCTTAACTATAATTAATAAATGGGGCTGCGATGGGTCCCAACAATCACAGTTTAAGCAAAAACTAGAAAGTGATACCGATTCCGACTCAAACATATTCCAAAGCTGCTTCGTGCCTCTTCAATTTGTTTGTGGAGATAACAATGAAAAAGTTTTATGGAATAATCCAACGCCCTCTTCGCCGCGATTTTGTAGACCATTAAGATTCCAATTTATCAATGAAACTAATGATGTCACTGAAGAAGAAATAAGACACGTTAAAAGCGCTATTAGGTCTTTAGTCCCAACAGAGGTCGACATAGCAGGGAAAAAATTCTTAGTCAAGCACAGTTTTATAATGACTATGGTAGACGGAAAAGTCTGCAATGCAGCCACAGGCACAAAGTCTACAAGTAGGTGCTACATCTGTGGAGCAACCTCGAAAGATTTTAATAAATTGGACTATACGAGAGAAGTGAATTTTGCAGCCCTTGAATTCGGCATATCGGTCTTACACGCAAGAATTCGGATATTTGAATGTATCCTACATTTAGCCTACAAACTTCGGGTGAAAAAATACAGGGGAAGAAAATCGAAAGAGGAAAGACCTAGAAGATCAAACCAAAAAAGAGATACAAACAAGGTTTCGCACTGAAACTGGTCTAATAATAGATATGCCTAAATCCAATTTTGGTAATACTAATGATGGAAATACCAGCAGAATGTTCTTTGAGAACCCCAAATTAGCCACTGAAATAACTAGTATTAATTATGAACTAATTTATAGACTAAAAGTCATATTGGAAGCGATTTCAAGCGGGTTCAAAATTGATCCCGTGAAATATGAAAGGTATGCTTTAGAAACTGCTCGTATTTACGTGAACCTATATGATTGGCATCCTATGACGCCAACAATGCACAAGATTTTAGTACATGGCGCAGTCATAATTGAAAAGGCATTATTACCAATCGGACAGCTTTCCGAGGAAGCAGCTGAAGCTCGCAACAAACATTTTAGATGTTACCGCCAAGATTTTGCGAGGAAATTTTCCAGAAAAGATTGTAATCAGGATATTTTAATCGCCTTATGCTTAGTTCAGATCCTTTGCTCAGTAGCATGCGAACTGTAAAGAAAAGGAAAGCAGAAACATTTTTGCCTGAACCCTTAGCCATGTTTGTATCTGCGGAATCCAACATATTATCTGAAAATTCATCAGAGAGCGACGAAGAAACTTAGCATTATTATGTTTTTTTTTTCTTTGTACCAATACAGCGATCTAAAAATTATATTTTTTTAAATTTATGTTTTTTTTTACAAATCTTGGATGGAGCAGGGGCCAAAGGGGTGTCGATACAATTGTACCTCGTCTGGATGGTTTGACAGTAACACTTTTAAGCATTGGGTTCGTACCATCGCATTATCATATTTTAATGGCAAAGACGGAAAGAAGATTCTCATTGGAGATAATCTTTCATCCCATTTATCTTTGGATTTGATACGAGAATGCAAAGAAAAAAAACGTGCATTTCATTTTCCTTCCTCCAAATTCAACACACTTGACGCAGCCTCTAGATGTTGCATTCTTTAGACCCACCAAAGGAGCCTGGAGAGATATTTTATTTTTGTGGAAAAAAACTGAAGGCCGAACTTTGCCGACCATTCCCAAAAGTGTTTTTCCCAGTCTACTGAAAAAATTGATCAGTCGCATAGAAGGTCAAGCTATGTCTAATATATTGGCAGGGTTTATGAAAACTGGCATAAGTCCATTAAATAAAAAAAAGTTCTCGAAAGATTACCAGGAAATATTGTTAGTGATGAGGAAAACTTCCGTAAAGATGCTATTGATGACACAGTTATTGCCAAGTTAAAAGAAATTCGATACGGCAATAATAATAACAAATTGTCTTATAGAAGAAAAAAATTGAAGTAAAGCCTGGTCAAAGTGTTTCCACCGAGACTCAACCAAAAGAGTCTGACAAAGAGAATGATCAAGAACCAAGTAGATATATTAGTGAATCTGATTTAGAGGAAAGCGAAGAACCACCGCAAAGCATTAAAGCTGACCTTAACGTCATTAGTTCTAACAAAAAAAATGAAGTCCTTATGCATTATAAAATTGCAAAACAGATCCCAGAAGAAAGGAAAATGAAATTTGAAGCAAAATATGCAATAATGAAAAATAGTTTGAACACTGTGACAACAAAGGCAGCACAGGAAGAATATCTAAACCTATTAATTAACAAAATAGAAGTAAAAAAGCGAAGAACTATCCCTCAAAATTCTAAACAATCAATAAGTAAACAACAAGTGAAAACTATTGAATTAAGCAAAAATATAAACAAATATGAAAATCCGAAAGACGTGTTCAAGAAACCATATGAAGTAGTGAATGAACAAACAAGAAAAATAAACTCAAATAAAAAATTCAGAAAAAGAGCTTGCTAACTATTTTCAACTTAAAGAAGAAGCAAACGAACTTGACATTGAGAACATGCCTTTATTATTCGAAGATGATTTCTGCTTGCAAAAAGAAATAGAAATATGTGATACATACTTACCGATAGATTCGGAAATTGAGCAAGAAACCCAAGAAAAAATAAGGATAAATATTAATGAAAAAATAGAGGCAGTAGAAACAAGTAAGGTAAATACGAAAGACAAGATAATTATAACATCAGCTGTAAATTTTGGAACCAAAGAAAATATTAAGATTGATTTAAAAAATATGAAGAAAATGGCTTTGACTGATAAAATTAATCGGAACTCTAAAGCAAGAAATAGAAACCATTACTTGAAAGATGAAGAAATATTACAAGATCTCATGGATTATAATATTAATTAAGTAAAATTATACTAACTTATGTAAAATATATTATATAAATATATTATAAATAGCTTCAAACTCTAGTCGGGATTTGTCAGACTCTTTTGATTGAGTCTCGGTGGAAACACTTTATATTTATAAATGGATAATATATATAATCAAAAAAAATTAAGTAATATTACGTACAATTATCACTTAATTTTACTTGCAAATTTTATTAACAGTTGATTGTTAAGTTGATAAATTATTTTGTTTATTAGAGGATTTGTTTGTTTCTGAAGAAATTTAATTGTTTAAGTTTTTACTTTTTACTTATTGACGATAAGTGTTGGTTAATTTTAAATAAATATATTCCTTTCTCTACTCTATAAATTTTTATTTACCTATCCTCTTCAAAATATGCTACTGACTTAAAATTGATTATTAAGTCTAAGTTGCATAAACCTTCACCCAATCTCATTTTAAATGTTTGACAACCCTGTGCTTTTTTCCCTATTAACCCCATTGTCATCCCAGTACACCCCGGTTCAAGTATGAATAGGAATAGCATATATTTCGTTTAATATCATAATGTATAACAATATTTTTAGTGATTTTTTTTTGGCATTTTCGGAAAATATACGCAGGCGGAGAAAATAAAAAGCAGTCATATATGTCATATCTGTACAATAATATTGAATTTTTTTTTGTGTGAAGTTCGTTTTTGTGCCTATTCACCCCGTTTTACGGTACACTAGAATTTTTTCTTGTCAGGGGGCAGGACAGTTCCCGGGACGTGCTGTAATAATAAAGCAATGCGGGAGAGGGGCCCCGCTTGCATTCCTAATGGATATCCCGGGACCTCTCATACACACTGATGGTGACCACCGTGGGATTTTAGCTGATAGTTCCTTCACAAGTTCCTTCCACTATAAGGACGCATGGTATATGGACTTAAACCGAAAGCCTAGTCAGCAACGAAAACAAAAGGCATATCTTCACTTCGAGTGCTTGATAATGGTTCTGGGTGCGGTAGTATTATCTGGTTCCGTAATAGATGCTCATATAATGTAGAATTTTGAAAAATCGTTGAGTCACGCTCTTTTTCATATGATCTCATTACATCTATATACTCGTAAATAAACCTGTAGTCTGCATCAACTACAGCAAACAATACTATAGAGAAAAACTCTTTATAGTTGAAAAAAGCGAACCACTACTGTTAGGTTTAATCATTCGTATATGTTTGCCATCCATGGCACCAATGCAGTGAGGGAAGTTAGCTTTAGACTCGTCTTGCGATTTCTTTTAATCGCTGTTCTGTTAATTCTGGCATACATTTTTGTGATAGTTTTTTTATATTTCTATTTTTCTGAAGTTAAAATATATCTTGTGAAATATTTAAAAAAAGAACAGGTTAATAGACATTTATCTTTTTTAAAAAGTCTTTTGCGAAGTCTCGAAAAATTTAATGATCAACAAGTATTGAAGTTTCAGAGTAGAGTTCTACAAATTGTAACAGAAATTCAGTACCCTACATCAGTATGGCAAGACTCATCTAATTACGGCTATCAGACTGGATACAATATATCGACATACGATAGTTACCAGAGCACGCCTTCTACTAGTTCTCTATCACAGATCACTTCACCAATGTCCGACGAATCATTACCCAATATTACTGTTTACGCCAAGTTGTGGCATTTGAAGCATTTATAATTTAATTATCCATAGGTCATTTTGGGCCCGACCCTCTCCGAGTTACTCGTTGAGTTGGATTACTATGGACCGCTAAGTCGATCGCGGCGAGTCGACTTAGCGGTCAGCCACCGTAGAGTCTATATTACCTGAGGATGCCTCGTGTAGAGGCGAAACACGTGTCGTATTATCGTCGATGGTGTGTCTTGCCTGGAATAGTGGTGTTGAGAGTAGTAGTGCTTGGTCTAGTGGTGACGGAGTTAGTGTATGCAATTGAGGGAGGGCGGGAGGTGCGCTTCAATCTAGGTAAGACACATCATTTTATATGTTTAGCGGAAAGTTGCAAAGAAATTTATATTTTTATTTTTTATTATAATGGATTTCCGCAAAGTAACTCCTGATTCTATCACTTATTTCTGTTGTTTTTTCCTATTTGCCATTATATTCGATAACATTATTCAACAATACTTTTTTTTCAGGTGTGTTTCTCCGATGAATCAACTTTTGAAATTTTGGCCGACAAAAGTAGCTTCGTCAGACGGCGCCCAGGTGAACCGACTGTATCGTGGAAAGGGTGAAACACCCTGTCAAAATAATGGTATGGTCAGTCATAAGTGTCAAGGGTGTTGGACGGCTCTACGTTGTCCAGGGGACCATGAGACAACACCAATATAAATAAGTGTTACAAAATCGATTGTTGAAAACACTCAGGGAATGGTTCCCTGATAGTGAGAAATTCACCTTTATGCATGACTCAGCACCCTGCCACAAAGCAAGAAGTGTCACCAAGTTTCTAGAAGAGAATAACATTCCAGTCTTACCTTGGCCTGGCAATTCTCCTGATATGAATCCCATAGAAAATCTTTGAGAGATCACTAAAGCAGAAATTGCCAAAGAAATGATAACCACCAAGTTAAGACTAATTGAAAAGCTAATAGAAGTTTGGCATCACAATTCTAAAATAAAAGAAAGTGCTAAAATGCATAGAAAGTATGCCCAGACGCATAGAAGCACTAATTGCAGCCAAAGGATAGGTTACAAAATACTGCCAGTAAAATTCGACAACATCTTTTACTTATTTAATTTAATTTTAATTATTTTAATTACTTTATAATATTTCTTATTATGATATTGTCCTAATTATTAAAAACATTAAAAAGCCTTTGTTTTATTCATTAATTTTAGCCAAATACTTGACAAATGCATTTTTTTTCAACTGTCGCTAATAATTTGGCAACCCACTGTACTATCCCACCTGGTGGTAAGTGTTTGAAGCACCAGATGGTAAACCGCACTGTCTTGGTGTAACAGCCACTCCACTCTTGCCTTGAATACTCAGATTGTAATTGAATGGAAAAATAGATGATGACAAACTGATGAAAATATAATTAACACCCATGCTATTAATTTATTTTCAAACTAAATATTACTTTATTGGAACGAAGTTCCTTATCGCGCGTTGCGAAAGGAGGCTAGACGGAAAAAATTAAGACCAAAAGTTGTAACGACACTTTTTGCTATAGTTGTTTCTCTGTCTGTCTCTCTCTCTCTCTCTCTCTCTCTCTCTCTCTCTCTCATAGAAAGCAAGCCAGTTATTTTCGTTTCGTCTTTCTATTTCGCATTGAATAGTGTGGAGTCGCGACGATTTTTTTTTGAGTGTATACAGGTTTTTTGTACATAATAAATAATAAGAATAATGAATCCTGACAGTATTTCTGCATAAGTTCCGGATATTGCTGATGGAGTTAGGTAAGTAGATATTTTATACAGAAAATAATAAATGCTTATGTATTTTTAGCAAGTACGCATTATAACCTCTCTTTACTAATGTGCTAACCAAGTCATACGCGTTTTAATCAGTGTTTCCAATGATTTCCTTTCCCCACGCCTCAATTGTGATTTCCCCTAGTAGTACTAGTAGTAAAAATCTGCTCATTCAACCTTATAATATCATTGTGTGGTACACAATCACTTATAATTGGGTGATACATACTAAAATAATAACCAAGCATAAGTACCACAGAGTAAAATTGCGCTGAAACATCGAAAAAACTTGTCGACTTTGCTCAACACTAGTTTGATGTAACTGCACATCACTGGCTGTCAATTTCTTTAGGATTTAAAAAAGACGAATCATTATGAACATGTTCAAATACAAATCGTTTCTTAATCTGTACGATCGATTCAATATAAAACATTTTTGCCGTCTGAAAATCTTTTTGAACTTCAGTTTTCTTTATTTTCCACCTATGTTAATAAATGAGTTGCATCCACACCTAAATAAATACGTTGCAATTCAAGATGTTCTTCTGTCTGATAAGGATTGATTTGGTTAGCAGGAGTTTGTTTCACATAATTTCAGGATTGATTTGGTTAGCAGGGGTTTGTTTGACGTAATTTCTATTCATGAAATTTAACGCCAATGTTCACACATTACTGTGGATTTAACTAGACAAGGAACGGAGAAATCAAAGTCTCCTTGCAGATATGGGTTCTAACGATTCCATGGATACTGTACGGTATTGGAAAAAAATGTTTGAAAAAAATGTTTAGGGGAGAAACAAATTCATTAAACTGCCAATTTTGGTAAATTATTTTATGTCACTGCCTTTTTTCCAATTCTGCCGTAGAACGGTTATTTAGTGATATAAAAACTATTAAAACAGATAAACGCAATAGGCTCGATAATGAACAGTTGGTTCAATCCTGTGCGTAAAATCTGGCTTGAAAAGAACGGGAACAACCTCTGCACAACTTTAGAAAAATCAGTTTGAAATACCACAACTTAAGTTCGTACAGTCCAATGCAACTGCAACCGAATCCAAAAAAATTGCCAAAGCATGAATAAAGTATAATTCAACATTTCGTATTCTTATTTATAGCCTGACCAGAAATATATAAAACCTGCACGTCGTCGGCTAAAGTCGCAGACCTCGTAGCTCCATTTTTCAAAATGACATTTTTATACTGTTGTGTTACTAATTTCTGACCGCATCTAATAGCAAAACTCCCAAAGCCCCCTTAAGTATTATGTATATTATATGTATTTATATAAAATTAAATTAAGCCTTCTACAAAAAAATTCGTGGTGAAGTTTTTCGTGCCTCCTGTAAAATTTCTTTTGATGGAGTTACGAGGTCTGCGACTCTGACGACGTATCGCCACTGTTTCTTTTATACGGTAACACTATAGTCCACGGTATAGTCCAAACAAAAATAACTCCGAAATTTTCCGCAATATTTTAAGCTAGGCTTTACCCACGATTTCCCTCGATTTCCCTTTTTCATGTCTTTCCCCTTTTCCTTCCCCTCTGGACCCTAATTTCCCCTCAAAAGGGGAAT